GTTTATCAAATGCATGGAAGTGAATGAGTGTAATGAGTAGAGTAGGAGTGATATCAAGATCTGAGGACGACTGATGAGATATAATAAAAGTAATGATTTGGGTTTATATGTGGAAGGAAGGATTGCTTTAAAAAATACAAAAAATGAACAGAAGAATGTGTGTTTAAATAGAATAAATCTTTCTGTTAAATGAACATGTTGATTTTGACCTTCTCATGTAAACTGATATTTTCTGAAAGTTGGTTTTTGACAATTTTATGCTTGTTTTTTATTTTATTTTATTTTCCCTGCAAATTGCCATAGAGGTTGTTTACAGAACCAGAAAGTGCTAGGAGCAGCAGAAATACTGTTTATTCTATTAATTAAGCAGCACACTATAACTTCTTTCAGTTTGGCTAAATGCATTGTTCATAGCTTTGTTAAAGTGCATATACTATGCACTTTAAAGAGCAACTATTATTTTTATTCTTTGGAAATTGCGTAGGACTATTATTCAAGGGCAAGTATTTGTGGTATCCACTGCCAAAGTGCCATTAGAAGCCAACAGATGGTGCACAGAGGTTATTAAGGGACAAGAAGACAACTCCCAAACTTTACACTTGCTCTCTGAAGTGTCTGACTCCACAAGGATCCTATAGTGCTCATGCAACTTAGAGCAATGACCATTTGACCATCTTGCTGATTTTGTAATTCTGTGTACTTGATTAAATTTCAGGGAGTTCTATGTTCAACACATCTATCATTTTTACCTACTTGGTTGGTAGCCATAGTCAACTACCACATATTAATTGAATAAATCTGGTAACTTTTTCACTTTATTATTATTTGAGCAACAACACAACACTCACCCTATTTCAACATATGGTAAGAGTAACAACACTGAATAGACTGCAATTTTTCAGTTTAAACTTAGTCTTATCTTCCTTCAATAGACAGTGCACTTACTATTACAAGGTTGCTGTCTATAAATTTTTCATCTCTCAGCTGCACTATTTATTAGAGGATCTCTTTATTAGAATAAATATGGTATAAACACTTAAAAAGCAGTTTAAGGAAAAGATTTTACTTCTGTTAGCAATTCATTGTATTTAATAATTATGAAATAAGTGAAATGGAAGAAATGACTAAGACAAAACCTTTCTCACTTCGTTTCTAGCCATTTAAACACTGAGTACAAATGTTTTCAGCCTTCTTAAAAGGCCTTCCTCGGGTACACTGTGGTCTGTTGGAACATTGGTTGGTAGATATTCAAACAGTGTCACTGTTTACATAGGTTTCGTCTTACTGGTGATGTCATTGTTGTTGATAAGGTTTAGACCAGGCATGGCCAACATACAGCCCGTCTAATGTATTTACACAGCCCACGATTAATCTTTCAATATTAGCTACTCAGTAAGTAGCTAATATTGAAAAATGAAAATCCAATGAAAAATTCTGACACCTAAATAAAGGGGGGTCAACAACTCACTGTGCGTTTAGAGTTAACCCTCCATTACAGATCTCTTAAGTACAGCGTAGAATGTTGATATGGCATGATAATGTGAAAAATGTATCTGTAATCTCTGTGGGGTGACACCACAATGAGATCTCGCACCAACTCAAAATCTTCCTAGGGCAGCCTCTGGTTCGGCCCGTGAAAAAGGTTTTCTTTCCAATTCGGCCCGCGGGCAAAAACTGTTGGTCGCCTCTGGTTTAGATGATGCTGAGGGCGTTAAATTTTCTTTTGATATAAAATTTAAGGTGTGCGGACAACTATTGATGGGATAATTGGTAAAGTTGAAGAAAATAAAATTGGAAAATACACGCACTAAGTAAAGAAGATGCACTAGCGACTGTGACAGGCTTGCTGAGTGTGGATTAGTCTACCTAGATAGGGGAGTGATGTCATAGTTGATACCAAAGTATAGATGGGAAATGGAAGAAACAAACATATTTGGGATATTTGAGATGGAGCCTTCTGAACTGCATAAATATTGAAAATATAAATGATTACCAAATGCTTATTTTTTATCATTTTGCTTCACTTTGTTTTATTTATATGATACAGTGATGATAAATGTTAAAATAAAAATTAAATAGAAAAAATTTCAATTGATAATATACAGTCGACCCCCTATAATTATGATTCCTATAAAACTGCGAAAAAATTGTGACGGTATCCGTAAAAAAGGTAAAACAAAACTCCTATAATTACGTAAAACATTATCGGGCAGCCAGACTACTTTCCTGCCATCCGTAGCGCCATGCTACGGAGATTTTACGCTAACTATCATCTGTACAGTATGTAAATTAGGTACCATAAGTCTAATACAGTACTGTAATTTTATACATTTCTTGTGAAAGAAACATTCCTTATTCAACAGCGATTAAAATTATTTATATTAATGATGTCTCCAAAGTTCAACGAAGTTTTCGCATAAAAATAAGTTGTTAGAAATCGGCCGCTATTTGCTGAGCTGTTCCACGACGAAAACAAGCTTTAGCAATGGTGATGTCGAATGGTGCACACTCGGTAAGTAATCCTACAATTTTTTGTTTATAGCGTAGTTTATACGGATTATTCCCAAAAAATATATATGTATTTTGGAAATGTTGAGTCGGATTAGTCTAGAATCGATTAATTTTATGGAAGAAAACCTTTCAATCAGCCGTAGTCCGTAAACTTCACACGTGTCGGGCTGTGATTGGAAGGACTCGTAAGAAATCGGATTCCTAAAGAATGGAACGTATCTATGATCTTATAGGGGGGTCGACTGTAATGCCCAGTGATATGGATTTGAAGATTGATTATTCACTCCTTTTTAGAGATACAATATTATTGATGATGATTTATGTTGAAGTAATGTACCAAGAATATTGTTGGTTCCTAAAATAGAGAATCATTATTTAGAGGATAGAATTAATGGAAAGAAAAAAATGCACAAAAGAAACTGAACACAGTTCAAAACACAAAAAATAACCTTATCCATTTTTCCAGCAAATATTTTCAGCCATTTTATAGGTCAACATCAGGTCTAGTCACTAAATTTACATATGCAGTATTTCTAACATTTTGTTTAGAATGTCAAAATATTTTGACACATTTTACAGATTTTAAAGTTAGAATATTCAGTTGTTTACTGTTTATATACAAACAAAATTTGAGAATTTTATATAAATTAAACAACCTATTGATTTTCTATGATAGCCATATATAATATAAGACTAGAAGTGTCTGTCAAATATGGCCATCATGATTAATTAATTAGTCTTTCTCTGTGAGTTAATGTAACAAGGCTGCCATGCTGCAGATAACAATTTACCATCTATATTCATATTTTTTATGTACATATATATACTGTATATATTAAAAGCAAAATGTTCTGCCATTCAAAATCAAAACTAACACTGTACAAAGAAGTGGTATAATAGAGACTCAACTCTGACTGTTTGGATGAAAAATATAACCAAATCAATCAAGACTGACAAGTACTTTATCCACACTTTCTAAAATATTGTTTCAATTGGTTTGATTTAATTTAAACTAGGGTAGCCAGTTAATTAAAACTGGTCTTTACACCAAAACTAAAGCTAAAATAAAAATAATTAATTAATTTAAATTAAAACATATCAATTGAAACATAATATTTCAGAAAGAATGGATAAAGTACTTGTTGGCTTTCTTGATTTGATTATATTTTATTCAGAGTTGAGTCTCTATATATAGCACTCTGTAAATAGTTAATTTTGGTTTTGGTTTGCATTGACAGAACATTGTGCTTTTATATATATTATTTTATTTTTAGTTTTGGTTTTAGTTTAAAGGGCAGAGTTCTCTTTATTATTTTTAGTTTTAATTAACTGGCTACCTAATCTTTATAATTGATATAATCCCCTTCTCTTGTTACTTTGTATTTCTAATGCTCTTATGTAGTCATCATTAAAGTTTTCTCTGATCAATTTTGTTTCTTCTGAAAGCATTGTAGAATGCTTCAATATTCAAAACAGAATGATAGAAATTTTTATTAATTTAGTGTGTAAACCTAATGTTGGTCTATAAAGTAGACCATAAATGTTTAATTAAAATATTTGCTGGGAAAGAGGATAAGCTTATTGTGTTTTGAATTACTGGAAACTTAACACCTTTCAAGGTTCTTATATTTCAGTTTGTAATAGTCCTACTGGGTTAAAACTGTTCTGCCGTGTAGAAAACAACAAGGAAGCAAGTAAGTGTGCAGAAAAATGAACAGGAGACAGGAGAAGACTAGAAGTTCAATATGTACAGTACTTTATATCTGGTTTTAGTAATTTTGCAAAAAAAAAAAGTTGTGATGACAGGTGACTTTGTCTGTAGCATGCAAGATTTTTTTTACATTTTCTAAGGAAAATTTTAATGAGTAAATAATGAAAAAGCTCATAATAAATTGCAGGTTGCAAACTTGCCAGATAAACTGCACAAGTATGTATCTGTTATTTGGTTACAATTGGACTTTTTTGAGTATAATCTGTGTGTTATCTGCACAAAAATATATGTTTTAATAAATCAAATAATTAAAAAGAAAAAGTATTAGTTTCACTATTGATGGGATAATTGGTAAAGTTGAAGAAAATAAAATTGAAANCAAATGTGAATTATGTGGAAAGGGTTTTGCCCAAAGTGGTGCTGTAAGAACTCATAAAGCTAGACATCATCAAGATGAAACAGAAGAATCACCTGCTTCTCCAGATTCTAATAGTTCACAAGAACATGTCATAGAAATTGAACCTAATTCATTGCTTACATAAAACTCTCAGGGTACATGAAACATTATAGTATAATATAAATCCATTTTGTATGGCCTGCCTATCTTACTGACAAAATGCATATACACAGCATAAGAATATAAAATGTTTAATATTTTAGTGCTGTTATTTTTTAACATGCATTGTTTGGACAATGAGAACTTTGTCATATTCACTAGTTATGACTCTCTAATTATTTTTATTAATCTTAAATAATATAAATTTTTTCAATATTATAGATGAACCAAAATAATGAAATACTAGACTGGATATAGAAGTGAACATGCAAAAAAATAAATGGGAAATTCTGATTATGAAGAAAGAATATTTAGAGAATGTTCAGAATCAACAATGGATTTTAGTAGCGGTACAAAGAATGCAATGGATCGTCCTGAATTTTACCCTTGCAAATGGTGCAAGGGAATGTTCACCGCACGTGCATTGGAACTCCATTCAGGATCATGCTATAAGACACCAAGAAATCAAAATAAATCTACCAACATAAGAAAGGAATCATCCAATAGGAAACAATATAAATGTGAATTTTGTTCTAAAACATTCAGACGAGCATTAATATTGAAGCGTCATTTATCATCAAAAGCATGTCAAATATCAGAGGAGAAGATTCATAATAATTCACTTAATAATAATAAATCAGAATTGCAGAAAACATCAGTAATTATATCAAACAATCAGAATTATTCTTCCAAGGATTCTTCTGTTCCCAACAATGGTGATAAAAATTCAAAAAGTAAAACATTTCAACATATTCCATGTAAAAAATGTCATTTGGTTTTTGCACACGAAAAGAATTTAGAAGATCATTTAAAATCTCATAAACTTCACGATAAAGGTGTTGAGTTGTATGTTGAAGAATATGACTTGGATGATGACGATGATGATGATGATATCATTCAAGAAGAATCCAATTCTTCAGAAAAATTTGATGATTCTAATAAAAATTCCAGTCATTTAGAAGATAATACTTTTCAGGAATGTAATAATAATAATTCTGTTAAAACAAATGAAAATAATAGCAGAACATCAGTAATTGTTAGATCTGAGAATCTATTTTTGTGTCATAAATGTGGTCAAACATTTTTGACTGAAGATGAATATAATCATCATTGTATAATGCATGAAACAAAATCACATTGTTCAGTTTGTGGTGAAGATGTACCACAGGAAACTTATGGGGAACACATTATTCAGCATGCTGTAGTTGATGATGGGCAGTTTCTAAGATGTGCACATTGTGAAAAAACATTTTTAAATGAAACATTGCTTTTAGTTCATTATCGCATTCATATTCAAGACACTCAGTTTTTTTGTACAGAATGTAATCAGGAATTCCTTCAAGCAATTGATTTGAAATATCATACACTTTCAGTTCATGGGCATTTGCAGTTACAACCATATCATTGTTATATATGCTTACGTAGATTTTCTCAACCACATGCTATTATAAATCATNGTTAAATTTAAATGATGCAGTATTAAACTTATGCATTTAATTAATGATCAAACTATAATTGAAAATTATTGGCAACTGTGATTTAAATTTTTTAAATTATTAAACTGTGAAGCCCATATTTTTGGGAACCCTAGAGTAGACTTATTACACTGTTCCAATTTCTCAAAAAATAATGTTTTCCAGATGAATAAACAGTTGCGGCCCTCACATTGTATGAGGATGGAAGATTCATTCCATGGGGTATAGTGATTGAGAATCCTTCTAGGTGGTTCTGTGGAAATTTTATTTTTACAAATGTCATCTTGACGATCTAATACAGTGGGTGATCGGTTAACGAGCATAATCCGTTCCAAGACTTTGTTCGCTATCTGAATTGTTCGTTAACCGATTATCGATTTACCATAGGTTTTTATGGGAATTTGATTAATTCATTCTGGAAACTCCAAAAAACAAAAAAATATATACTTTCTTACTATGTTTATTTATATGTAATAGTAAAAATACATGTATACACAGTCTTGCATTTTTATTAGTCATGTTTTTTCCGTTTGTGGGGGTTCAAGAATGTGTCTGTTCTGAAACTTCTCAAATGTCTGTATCTGAAGAAGAGACCACTTCAGAGCTCCCCATACCTTGCCATATGATAACTCAGTGGCCAAAATGCACAAGTCAATCTCAGAAATTATTGAAGAAATTAGCAGTAGATGAAAATGAAATAAGTTGTGAAAAAAACTATGAGCATTCGTACAGCATAACAAAAAATTGTGAATCATTAGCTGTTAATCAGAAGAAAGAAGCCAAAATTTCAACTTCTAGTGAATCACCATCAAACTCATCACAAGATTCACAAAAAGATGGAGCAATTAGCAGAAAGTGGCGAATCTTTCCTTGTCCAGTGTGTGGGAAAGTTTATACGTGGCAGTATGATTTAAAAATTCATTATCGCATTCACTCAGGAGAAAAACCATACAAATGTGAATTATGTGGAAAGGGTTTTGCCCAAAGTGGTGCTGTAAGAACTCATAAAGCTAGACATCATCAAGATGAAACAGAAGAATCACCTGCTTCTCCAGATTCTAATAGTTCACAAGAACATGTCATAGAAATTGAACCTAATTCATTGCTTACATAAAACTCTCAGGGTACATGAAACATTATAGTATAATATAAATCCATTTTGTATGGCCTGCCTATCTTACTGACAAAATGCATATACACAGCATAAGAATATAAAATGTTTAATATTTTAGTGTATATATTTATATATGTGCACTAAAATATCATTTTTTTTTTTTTTTAAATGAGATCCATATTTACAATTTGTTTTTATGACTTGTATGATTGCTTCAGATTTAAGCTTTCAACTATTCTTATATATTAAGAAATCTTAATGCTAAATATTATAGCAAAAATCTCATTGCTGATTTCTAAATGAANCATTTTTTTTTTTTAAATGAGATCCATATTTACAATTTGTTTTTGACTTGTATGATTGCTTCAGATTTAAGCTTTCAACTATTCTTATATATTAAGAAATCTTAATGCTAAATATTATAGCAAAAATCTCATTGCTGATTTCTAAATGAACTCAATTTATTTTTGTAATAACCAAAACACCTTTTTATTCCAAAATTATTCAATGTTATGATTTATGGGTATATTGGTGATACTTTGCTAAAATTATCCAAAGAAATCAAAAATTGCTGCACACTTTTGCTTTAAATGATAAAAGCAAAAATGTTCATTGTCCTTTTTTTTAATAATTTTAGAAAATTATCATCAATAAATCTAAGAATTGCAATATTGAATTTATTACCACTAAAATTGATATAATTTGCAATATAGTTATAAAATGAATTGAGGAAAATTTATTTGTATCTTTGTCAATGTGATTATGAATTATTCTAATGCATTATAATTTTAATTATTTTGCATTTTTTAGTTTTCATAGTTATTACCAAAGGAGAATGAATTAAAACAACTGAAAAGTGTATTTTATGGGTCTTAAAGGTAAGTTGTTATTAATTAATATGACAGATTTTTGTATTTATGTAATTCAAAATACTTTATTGATAATGGAAATTGAAAAATTTTAAATAATTAGTGCAATGTTATCTGTTGAATACATTAATATTTCAAGAATTATTTGCTGCTTATGTATTAAAATGGCAATCAATTTATGTCTTAGCCAGATATTTTCTTTCTGGCTTATCCAGTTTTGTCATTACATAATTATAACTTTTGATATTTTTAAATTGAAAATTGTGTATTTTGAGTTTGCATCCAGCTGCTAATTGTTTACTATTCATGATTGTTATTAACTGCAATTTTAAAAGTACTTTTCTTTCTCTTCCTTATCTGTGTACATTTGTAATTGTAGCTAAATTGAACAATGAATTTCTTGGATTTTTTTCTGATGAACTCTATATTTTTGATTTAATGAACATGGATAGTTTAAATTTATAAGATAAAAGTTTAAGATCACTGTCTTTCATTGTCAAGAACATTGATATAAATTTTAACGTTAACGTTAATTTTTACTAATCAGAATGCATGTGTTAAATTTAAATGATGCAGTATTAAACTTATGCATTTAATTAATGATCAAACTATAATTGAAAATTATTGGCAACTGTGATTTAAATTTTTTAAATTATTAAACTGTGAAGCCCATATTTTTGGGAACCCTAGAGTAGACTTATTACACTGTTCCAATTTCTCAAAAAATAATGTTTTCCAGATGAATAAACAGTTGCGGCCCTCACATTGTATGAGGATGGAAGATTCATTCCATGGGGTATAGTGATTGAGAATCCTTCTAGGTGGTTCTGTGGAAATTTTATTTTTACAAATGTCATCTTGACGATCTAATACAGTGGGTGATCGGTTAACGAGCACAATCCGTTCCAAGACTTTGTTTGCTATCCGAATTGTTCATTAACTGATTATTGATTTACCGTAGGTTTCTATGGGAATTTGATTAATTCGTTCTGGAGATCCCCAAAAATAAAAAAATATATACTTTCTTACTATGTTTATTGATATGTAATAATAAAAATACATGCATACACAGTCTTGCATTTTTATTAGTCATGTTTTTTCTGTTTGTGGGGGTTAAAGAATCTGTCTAATGTCAATTACTTTTCTCTGTTCTACAGGGTTTTTCAGAAGTAATTAATAGAGTTGTAATTGTAGAGATCCACAAGCCTATTAACCTCTAAGGCCATTCTAAGACCGTTGTTTTGACATCCTCCCACTTCTTCAAAAGGTGTCTAATAGCAGATATCGGCATTACTCCTCTTTTTCAGAAAATAACATATCTTGCCTAGTTTCTTGGCGTTCTTCTGCCGTCAGATCAGTTTCAGGTTCCATTATGAACTTTTCGATGTTCTTTATTTCTCAGATGTGAATTTTGTTACTTCTTAAGCTTGCTTGAGTCTTCTTGATAATACTGTATCTTTTTTAGATAAGATTGAACTGCAGCCTAATGTAGAGCTGTTCAAGCCATACTGTACAGCAACATCAGACATCTTCTGTCCACTTTATACCTTTGCTATTATACTCTCATCTTTCGAAAAGAAAAACAGATGTGAACCTTAACGAGTGCCTACTCGACACTCTCATGAATATATAAAAGAATTGTTTTGTCAGAAATATAAAAAGCTGGAATTACAAGGGAGAGTTTCAAATTTCGGTGGAATACTATCCAATCGGTATATACCAGCTTGAGTGTCAATGTCGACGTCTCCCACACTCCGAAAAGTTTCGAATTGTTGCCCGAAGACAAGGAAAGACCAATTAGTATTCATTATTTTACGTCACTTCTTCTGTGTTTGTTCTGTGGGGTGTTCGTTATCTGATCATGTGTTCATTGTCCGAACATAAAAATCTTTCGCGAAAATGTTCGTTAACTGATCACCCACTGTAATTGGCTTTACAGTTTTCTACTTATGGCCCTGATATAAATCATTGTTTTGGTATTGTAAGGGAATTGTGTATATGCCTGATTTTTCTAACATAGTTAATTTATCCCTGTCATTGTATAGTATCTGCGTAAGGGTAGCTGTGGTTTTATTGGAAGGTTAAATCCTGATTTTTGAAATCTTCTGGTAATGCATAAGGACACAGACCCAATAAAACAGGATGGAAGGACTTTTGTAAATGCGATCCTTTTTTATTATTTCTAATTTTGATGTTGAGAAGAGGGATTTTTGCACATGGATTTGAATGCACTTGAATTTTTACATAAATGTATCCTGCCCTATGCATTGCAATATTAATAAATTGTAACTCTTTTCATACTATATGCTGCAATGATGGTAATATGTAGGCTCTATGAATAAGTGCAGATATGTTATCGTTTATAAATCCATGCAGTTGGAATAAAGTTTTTCTTTAAATTCTGACAAGTCTTTACATCCCTATAAAATAGTTTTGTTTTCATGTTTATTGTGAATCCCTTTAATCACATAATGTATTAAAGCACCGTCACCTATTTTTCCGAAATTACACAACTCTTTCATCTTTAAATAATACTCCCGAACGGATTCAGAGTTTTACATTGTGCACTTACTCAAAAGCTCATGCAACTTAACTGAATTAATTTCAAAAGAGAATTTATCGATCATAGCTTGTTTTAGTTTTTGCCATGAATTAATCTCAGGTACTGTTCTTACAAATGAAGAGGTGTTACCTCCAAGGGATTTTTTTAGCAAAAATTAATTTTTGCAATTCAGACAAACTAAATAATTTAGAGTTATTTTCAAAATGTTTGATCCAATGAATAACATTCTCTTGCAGTTCTTCATAAAATTTAGAAATGGTACTTTCAATTCAGAATAATTAATAGTAACACTATGTAAAACAGACCTAGCTACAGCCACCATACTCAACTTTTTTTTCTCTCGGGCCACATACACATGATAGCTATCACACGTGGACTGCAACATAACAATTATAATAAAAAACTTACTTAATTTCTCACTTACCCTGGAAATTTGGTGTGACTGTTGATATTGCGAACATTTTTTTTTTTTATTATTATACTTGTTCTGCTCTGTGGGCATTAAGAGGGCCTCTTATAGCAGGCCCATAGTAGGCACCATTGTGGGCCTGGGTTCAGCCAGGCCCACAATGGTGCGACCATATGGTGAGAGATGGGGCCCAACATATCCGAACGGACCACTCCCTGAAAAATTCCTGGGGGATTCCCTGACCCGACCGGATTTGATCCAGAGTGGTAGGCTGCCACCTTGACTGCTCATCTGTCAATTCATTTAAATCAGGTTTGTAACTGCTGCATACTACTCGTAAAATGGCATTCCAGTGTGAGTCAGTAAGCCAGTTTCTATATATGTTCTTTGCATATTTAATTTTTGAGTATGACGTTTCACATAGATACATTGATGCGAACAACGTAAGTAAAATTTGAGCACATTTTTTACAGTCTTATATTGATCGGGCACTACTTTCCAGAAGTCAACGTAATTATTTTCCACTCTCTTTCACATCCAGGCCACTCACACAAAAGCTCAGCGGGCCGCAGGTTGAGTATGGTGGAGCTACAGCATTACTTTGTTCGGATTGGATAGAGGAATTGAGACCATTTTTATTTTTATTCATATTGCACTGCATTGAAAATTCGCCTTCATTTTCAATTTTTTTTTATTTGGTTCATCCACTTCAGACTCAGAGCCAGAAGAAACGTTGAGTTGGACATGCTGAGCTAAGGATTCCAAAACACACAAATCAACCAGAATTCGCTTCGCTACTTCTGCTTTATTGCTTTCGAAAGATATGTTTAAAATGTTAGAAATTGTAATTAGCTCATTCAAGGAAAAGTTATCTTCTATACTTTTCAATTTCTTATTAAAATCATCACTGTCTAAAGCAAATGTAAATCCACTGAAATTTCTTAATCTCTTTCAGCTTGACCAATCGCCGTTGGTATCAAAAATAAATTTATGAAGGATTTTGATTTTATTGAACTTGCAATTCTTCAATGCAATGCTTGTTTCTTTTATATCATTTAGAATCATTTTGAGGAATAAAAATCTATGTACCCCTTATGTTATTTCTGAGATGAGTGTTGATAATATCCAAAAGTTTTTGTTTTGGCAACTCTCAGTCAGTTCGAGAATCCCTTTGTTTGTCATTAAACGTTTCAGTATAATCAGTAAACACTATGATTTTGATAATCCATGACTATTTAAATCACTCTTATCCCACTCCTGAGAAATGTGGTATCTAAAGATGGCTGGGCATTAAGAAGCATGTGCAGAGCACAGTTTAAGAAAGAATATGAAGAACTTTTTATGACATATAATGACGTATATTTTAATATGATACAAAAAAAAAAATGCATTACAAAACGATGAACACTAAACAAATTCATCTT